GTGGTCAGCCACATAAACTCATGGCAATGTCCTCCCACTCCCGGCAAGCAGCCTATCACCTGGCAGACCTGCAGTGTGATTTGCAATATGACGACTGAGAGTGCTGTTAGCCCACACACCACCATCTGACACTCGTCCATTTGTACCTATGTCCACATCTATAAATTCACAGTTTGCATCAGCTATGGCCATGAGTACGATGCTGTGGCAGGCTTTGTAATTAAAGTAACACGAGCCGCTGTCCTTTGGAGGCCTTATTTCCATATGCTTCCCGTTGATGGCTCCGAGACAGTTTGGGAAGTTCCATCTTCTCTGAAACCCATTTGCCACACGCATCCACTCTTCTGGAGTTCTGGACATCTGTAAATAGTGTGAAGAAGTATTTCCTTATATTCGATCTGCAGGTTTGTAGTTATGTCATCTGGTGTTGGTGGTGCATGACATGCCAAGGAAATGTCCCGGGTTTACATTTTATTCTCCTTTTATTCCAAATGTTAGATCTATCTGAAGATAGGTTTCCAAGCCTGTATACAGTAAACCAGACTTGGATTTACTTGAAATCTGTACAGTTGAAGGAGCATTTTCCTATCTATGTTTTCAAAGTTGCACTTTAAAATTCCCAAATCTCGATTTACTTTGCTCACTGCTGCACTCACTTGTTGCGCCACCTTCAGTGAATGTTCTTTCATTCGTGTAGCGGGAGAGGATAAGTCATGGTCACGTTTGTGCAGTTAGTCCGTTCAACACTTGATTATTCATATTATGCTACAGCTCCCATAAAACATGTGAAACGTTTGAGTCCCCCAGTAGGGATGTCCGTTCTCTATTCACTTCAGGCTGTTTTAGTCCTTCGTTTTCCTTTTGTGTACTCGCTTAGGGACTCGGGTATATTTTAAATAACTCAGGATGTTCGGGGAATTTGAAATTATGAATGAATAAATTTATTGTTCAGTCTAGTAGGTTTACCCACAAGGAGATGAAAGACTCTCGATGTATTGAGCACATGTTGGAGGTATCTTTTATCTTATATGTCGAGTATTTTGTGCTTAGAGATTATGTGTTGAGTATTCTGTTTACCAGCTTATGTCTCGTGTGTTCTTAAGAGGCGGCCGTTCATAACTGAAGTCATTTGTTTTGAAGTATGTACAGTCTCGTTCAATATTCTTCGAACACTGCTGGAGACTGCTGGCAACTCACGGCCGTTTGTTTACTATAGTACGTAGAAAAATTATGAATGACTGTAAAAGTGATCGGTGATTGGTTACTGAGTTCCCCGTTGCTTAATTAATGGTTGGGCTTTGTTATTTCGTATTATATTATACCTTTCTGCTGGTATAGGCAGACAAGATGAATATCGTCCAATATCCCTCATCTCCTGCTTCTCAAAGATGATGGAGCGCATGATACGCCACCGCCTCCACTGGAAAATTGAAGCCCACCTGCACCCCGACCTCTATGGTTTCCGCCCCGGAAAGAGCACAGCTCACTGCATCGCTCACTACATGGCAAACACCTCAGCCAAAGCCTCCCTCTTCGTCGACTTCAAGAGTGCTTTTGATAAAGCCAACAGTGAAGTGATCCTTGAGGGCCTCACTCACATGGATGTGAAGGGCAAACTCCTCACGTGGATTGCTGACTACCTCTCCCATCGACAGGCCCGTGTCCGTTTTCAGGGCCACTACTCTACAATCAGGAACCTTGATCTTGGCACGCCTCAGGGAGGTGTACTCAGCCCTACACTCTTTAATGTTCTCTTGAACTCCATCTGCCGCCTCAACGACATCTTTGCTGAGCACGCCCTAGACCGGGGGTTCCCAAACCTGGGGTCGCGACCCCAAATGGGGTCGGAAGGCTCATTAGGTAGGGTCGCAAAGAGGTCATGGGGTCGGTGGGGTCGCTGGGGTCCTTTGGATCTGCCAGTGAAATGATTTGGGGTCGCACTGGATAGTTGACAACACTGGATGGGGTCGTGCAAGAAAAAGCTTGGGAACCCCTAGACGGTCACATCATAAGCTACGCTGATGATATTCTCCTCCAAATTACTACAGTGCAACATGAACAACCTATACTCTCCACGTTCGCCCGGACCTGTCAAACACTCGGGCTAGTCATCTCACACACTAAAACCAAGTTCATCTCACGCTTCCGGCGTCAGACACCTCTGACTCTGCAAAGACAAGACATCGATCAAGTGCGCACCTACAGGTACCTTGGACTACCTGTGCGGGCCACTACCAGAGCCACCACCTCTGCTGTCGCCTCCCACGTCATCTCCCAGTGCCGCCAACGAACGAGGCCCCTCCAGTCCCTCACTCACGGCCTCAAAGGAGCCTCTGTCAGGGTCTTACGTCTCATGTACATTGCCATCGTCAGAGCTGTCATAGACTATGCCTCTCCTGTCCTTGTAGTTGCCTCCCAGCGCGAGAAACAAAGCATAGAGAAAATCCAAAACAGAGCGATGAGACTCATCCTCGGCTGCCCTATAACCACCAGAATAGAAGTCATGCAGCGTGAACTGATCCTGCTTCCCGTCTGCAATCGAATTACTGCTCTCAATGCCATCCTTGGTGTTAAACTTCTTTGCAGTGAGCAACCGACTCCCCTGTCGCGCTCACTGAACTCACATCTTAACACCCTCCTGCGCCGGCCTGTCCCCATTACCTCTCCCTCCCTCTCTCAACACTGGCCTGTCCACACTGCTGCTGACATCCTGCGTTATCACCTCTACACCCCCTCGACCTCTCTCCCTCCCGAGTACACTCATCCGCCTCTACCGCCGTGGACTTCCCCGTGCGTTGATGTTGTCGTCCACACCTTCCCTGGTCGTAAATCCACCCAACTGAGGTATATGCTCAAACTTAACTGCCTTGAGCAGATTAATGATGTCGCCTCCTCTCTTAAGACCTCCCACCCTCCTATCCTCGTCTACTGTGATGGGTCTGTTACCACGCTGGGCAGCGCTGGGGCAGCTGTGTGGATTCCTGAGCGCCAGGCCTGCAGGAAAATCAGGGTCCACGACTGGGCCTCCTCCACTGATGCTGAAAGCATAGCCATCATCGCGGGCATTCATGAGGGGGCGACCTATGCTCGCACTGAACGCCGGAACCTCCTGATAATTATCTTTCTTCCCTTTCTCTTCGCCATTGTTGCTTCACTCTCTCTCTCTTTTACAGGTACTTTAACGGGCAATGTCCGGTGGATTTGGCATCCAGCGTACCGCCAGCAAGGCCGTGGGCTCGTAACACACATCTTGCACGCGGTGCCCACCGTTTCTCTGTGGATGTCGGTCACACGAGAATAACCCGTTAGAGTACCTCCTTCTTTCCTCACACAGCCAAACTGTGGAATGCTCTGCCTTCTTCTATGTTTCCATACTTATACAATCTGTCTCACTTCAAAAAGCTGGTTTTCCGGCATCTTCGTGGTGGAGATTAATATAATATTTTTCTTTTCTATTTTTTAATTTCTTTTGACCTGTGCCCGGGTGGGCTGTTCCCCGTAAAAAAACATGTTAAAGTACATTACGTAACAGTTTTGCAAAAGCATTTGAATAAATCTGTCAAATATATTTTTTTTAACCTACTTTGATGCGCCACTTTTAAATCACTCCCAATGCATAGCTGAAAATTTCACAGCAATTATCTTTAATCAAAAGAAAACTCTTTAGGCGGTGACTGCAATATTTATACTTACCGCTAATATTAGTGGTATGTTACCGTCAAACCGTGTAACTAGGCATTTTTTTAGTCAAATGGCGAAATGAATGTTACAATCGGGTTAGGTTAGGACCTAACCTAACTTAACCTAACCTAACATAATGCAACGTTACGTTAGTTAAGTTTGAAGCCTTTGAAATATGGTGTTATAGGCGAATGCTTAGAAAAAGCTACACTGACTGGAAACAAATGAAGAAGTACTAAGATTAGCAAAAACTTCAAGAGAAATCCTTGAAATGTACAAAAAAGGAAAAATGAGATACTTTGGAAATATAATTAGGGGTGAGGGAATAATAACATAAATATTAATGGTAAAGGTTGAGGGTAGGAGGGCCAGGGGAAGGTAGAGACTGGGATGGAGGAGTTAAATTCAAAACTGGGTCCTCAAACAGATACAAAACCTTAACGATTGGAAAAAACAGCCCGAGAATGGGTAGAATGGAGGACTGTGGTCGCCAACCCTCAGATATGACGACGGTACTCTGATGAATTGATTGATCTTAATCAAGTGGCCCCACATTTCTGCTGGTCCATTAGGGCCTTTTGTAACGTATTTTTCACCTACCTAAACTAAATGTGTGATTTATTTCTGCTGGATATGAGCTTTTTTTCATAAATTTATGTTCATAGCAAATGTTAATTTACAAGACTTAGTATTTACCTGGTAAGTTGGATGATGGTGAAATAATAGATTAATGGAAATATAAATACAGTACGTGCAGACTTGTAAAATTAATTATAAGTTTTTCGTTCGTAATCTAGAAAATCAAATTGTCAAGTGAATACACTGGGAAAAGTCGAGATATTTCTTAATACAAATGCCAAGTGCTCCAAGTAAGTTGCTTTTAGTCAGCTAAGAAACAGACTGGATTTTGACCACGTTCTTAATTTTCAGTTGTAGTTCAGACGCCTCAGAGAATATAGGTCGAGGAAAAGGGAGTAATATTTCAAAAGCTTAAATTAGAAAGGGTGAGTGGGAGTAAATAAAAGAGAGAGAGAGAGAGAGAGGGGGGGGAGCACATTCACTAATTCTCCTAAAATCAACATTTAAACTATACCAGCGTAAATTTTGGGGGGTAACTTTTTTCTTGCAGATAAATTAAAATATATTGTTGGAAGAGACACAACCCTGTGGAACTGTGTGAGAGGATATTTACTGGTCTGAAATATTTTAGTCTATCACTGTGCAGTTCCACAGCTACACTAACAGTTCATAACTTTTGGTCACTTTCTCTGTATGAACTGGCGGTTAACTCCCCAAATGTCTTAAGAAAAACAATAACGAAGCTGTTTATTATTTATTTTATTGTTATAATGATTTGTTGAGAAACATCGGGTTTACGTATATATTTATCACTGGCCGGTTCCGTAAGATTTGATCCAGCCTGGAGATCCGTTAAGTTGTGTAGGCTTTCGGCTCGCTATGAGCTATAAGTATCACAAAGCAGTAAGTTAGTGACACCAGTTTCCTGGGCAATGGTGTCACACATATCTGGGAAATGTAGTATATATTTACTTTTCTTACACCGGTTCTTACCACCATCGTCCGGCAACTGACCGAGCTTGTCTGTTAACTAACAGTACTCGTCCGGTAATTGACTGAACTTATCCGACAGTTTAATTGAATTCATCAGGCAATTAACAGATATTCGGGGAAGATTTGCGGAGTTTCGCTGTAACAACAAAGAGGGCAACTAAAGATTGACCAAGATCGTCCGGCAGTTAACCGTATTGATGGCAGTAGACCTACAGCAAAAAGTTAATGAAAGACCGGAAGTGAAAGCGAAATCCTAGAACAGGGGTTCTCAACCAGGGGGGAATTTACCCCCTCAGGTTTTCAGGGGGGGGGGGGAAACTGATACTAATATGGAAAAAATAAAGGATTTTCAGTATTATATGCATATTATTTGGAATGCACTTTTTGAGGCAGACAATCTTGGAAAGGAGGGGGGAATGACATTCTGACATATGGTGAAAGGGGTGCATGGGGCAAACAAGGTTGAGAACCACTGTCCTAGAAGGACGTCGACGCCTGAAGAATTTTCACCGCCGAAGAATAAACTTCTTCTGCAAACTGCTACCTGTAGACGCTAGCCTGGCCACTCCGCGAGCTCCTCTGTGATCTAAAAAGAGTATCTGATTCACAAATAATAATGCATCTGTCAGAGGCTTCCAGGTGTGCATCTGAAGATTTTTATAGCCAACAGAAGCTGCAGAGTTCACGTGCAAGGTGCGCCTTGGAGGGTTCTTGAGTATCAGGCATATTTCTAGCAGAACCTGCCCAGTACACATTCAAGAGTACTAGTGCAGCCAGCGCAGTAGCCACATACACAGTACATCCCCTCTCCGCAGATGCCGTTCTCCTCCCAACGTCCTCCACATGGCTCATCTGGGCCCTGTAAATAAACATGTAAATTTTCATATCGTGAAGCTTAGCAGTAGTTAGGTTAGTAGAAACTATAATGATGCTATGTTATACATGAGAAGAATTTGCTCTGTACTAGATGTAAACAGAGAAACCAGATACCAGATGAACAACGATGTTAAAGAGAAATCCGACTGTGAGGAATATTTAGGATTAATGATAAGTAGGGATCTTAAACCTAGTAAACAATGTCTATTTGCTCGAAACAAGGCTAACAAAGTACTTGGGTTCATACAAAGGAGTGTTAGTTGCAAGACTAGCGAAGTCATCCTAAAACTATATCTTGCGCTTGTGAGACCTCACTTGGATTACGCAGTTCAGTTCTGGTCACCGCACTACAGAATGGATATAGAATCCCTAGAAAGAATTCAGAGGAAACTGTAAATATTCAGCGAAGGCAGGCACTTTAGTTATTTGTTACTGAGGAGAAGCCTGTAAGGCTAGAGGCTACATCTCCATTAACAGTTTACTCGAGTCTGAGAACTACTGGACGTTTGCTGAACAACTTGCTTGTCCTTCGGACTGTGAATGCACCGTCACCAATAAATGTGGAATTGGCTGATGCAGTTAAGATACATAATCCAGAATTATTTTTCTATGGTTTAGCGTAAGGTTTTAATTTTCATCTATTGGCATTTCTATGAGATAGGCATCTTGAGTTGTACATCAATCAGTAGGCTTATCGTTAACCTGTTATTAAACATATTTTACACTTGAATTTTCCTTCTTAAGTTAGGCTTTACAGTCGTACTTAAATTGTTGATTACAAAAGTCATTACCACAAAACTGAGTCGTTGGTAAGTGGATTTTCCATCGGGATTCCGTTCCTATGTAGTGGATTGATATACAGTGCACGTCCCTCTATAGATTGGCAATGAAATAGTGCTTTTATTAAATATTTTGATTAAAATCATTTTAGGGGTCTTTGGACGACGCCCCCATCATTGGTGGAACACTTACAGAAAGAGACCAAGAAAGAGTACCTCTGGACACCTACTACCTATACACCTTTTGCACTCGACATTTTATTTAGATCTCACTTGGCTTCCGGATTACTGCCCATTATCTTGAGCTGGTCATAAGACGTAATGCTGTCAATGAATTCGATGTCATGCAGGATTTTGCTCCTTACGCACCCAACGTGATGCTGGATTTTGCTGAGAGAGAATCTTCGTAGAATCTTATAGCGACACACGGAGCGAGAATGGCCCTCCTTAAACAGCCCTCATCTGAACCATTGGGATTACTTACAAAATTGGGTACACAAAATCTAGTGGCTAGGAGTCTAAACATACTTAAAGCTAACAGTTGGTAAGAAGTGAGAGAACCTTCTCACAAAATGACAGTGGGTGGGTGGGAGGACAAACAGTCGTTTGCTTGAGCCTCTCACGCACGTCTAGATTTTATTGTTTGTCTGTTAATGATTATATTAATTCACAAGTAAACGTCTTCACCTGCATATCATTTTATCTACATATTATATGTACCTTCTTGTTTCTGAAATAAAAGATGTTTAAGAAGTGAACTTGTTTCACAACACCTTGTATATCTGTGAACTTAAATAAATTTGTTGGGAAATACACAAAGAAATATATCCAGTTGTAAGACCTTCTAAACATAGGTTATGTCATGACACAGACCGTGAAAAAGTGGTTGTAAGACAATATTTTGTTTGAATCAAGCTCGTAGATTATCAGTGTGTGCATGTGTAGTGTAGTTATCATTGCTCCTTTACTAGTGAACGTGGACGACCCTGAACCGAGAGCGATTAACTGAGTGAAACTGGTGACACCATTATATGTCACTACTCAACAGGACTTACATTTAAAGTAAATCAGATAATTCTGGAAGGATAAACTGTATCAGCATTTCAAGATAAGATGTATTTACCAGATACATTCTCTTATAAAAATATCTCCTATGAACGGAAGGTTTTCTTGAGTTTGAATGTTTATTTGATATGAATTAGAAAGTATCACCAGAAGCCGTCGATAGGCTCGTTCACAACCCTCAAGATAAAAACCAATAAAATAGTCACTATTAATTTTCCTACTCTTAAAAGGATGGGATTGTTTTGCGACGTTCTAAACCTGAATATCTTCCTACTGTTACCCCGTATTATATTTCACATTTAAGGGAGTAGTTCCAGGAGAGATAAAACAATTGCCTGTCTAGATTGACAGCAAAAGAGTGAAGAAGGGGTGTATCGGTGAGCCTGGATGCAACTCTACAGTATCATGTTACTGGTCTTTAAGGGAGTTAGTTAATAAGGAATTCTAGCCCACCGTTTATCATAACTTTGTGGTGTACATGATCGAGGACTAGAGTACCAATGGCCAAACAAAAAGGTGACACCTTAAGATCCTATATTAATTGGATGGAAGGAATAGACTCATTACAACTACATTAATGGGGGCAAATAAAGACTGCGTCAAACACGGCAGCCATAGTAATGTGTGACAATTACAGGATTAGGTGTGGAAAGAGACGAGTATAGTAGAATGAAAATATAGATAAGTTGGGTGATGAACTGACAGTTTGAAAATTGTAGTGTTGATTTTTTAACAGAAATAGTAGTTGTTAAAAAATAAAATTATATTAACTTACTGGAAGACGAATAAATTTGTCCTACAGGATATCTCAATAAGAATCTACCCAGAGTTTCCAACCCCATTAAAACACCCCTTAATATACGAATCCGACTTGTATACATAGTCAACAAAACTAAACCAGTTAAACTTATACGGTCATGTGTGAACCGTTCCTCCAATCAAATGATTCGGAACTAGAGAGAGATGACATGAGGGCGGCCTGTTAGGGAGCACTGACCTTGCCACAGGCTGCGTTGCCACACCATCCCAGCACCACACCATACTTGCACTGTGAAAGGTCTTCTGGAGCTATTTCGTTCCTCTCTGGACAAAGAGGAGTGGCTGCTGCGTTTCTGTTGGTGAAGACAGAGATGAGTGATAAGAGTATTAGTATGTTATGGAGGTAGATTGTAATGGCTTGTACACAGTCATGCAGGAGGGCAGGATAGGACTAACGAGAGCACAGTATAACGATGTTTATGTGTCACCGATGTTGTGATCCGATGTGGCCACCAACTATCAGTACACGTTACCTGTAACCCGCACTGCACTGCAAATGTCTATTGGAAATATGGTGCTGTTTCCTTATAGTATGAAATTATCGAATCTTTAAACAACGATTACTCGGGTGGATCTGCCAGTTGGCGTTAACCTCAAAAAGTTGTCACTGCAACTTACTTTTAGTGTCGTATTCATAAGTGTAGGACCAATACAAATCTAAGACAAATAACATGTACAGGTACTTTCAATATTTTCTTAAAGCCAGAACTTTTGGTCATTCTTGTGGTTTTGGTAGTCTGATATCCAGCCACGTGTTCCGTGTAAACGATTCTGTTCAACGTAGATCTTTCCTTTGGTTAATATGACTATCATTTACAAGTGTTAATAAAAATCTTAAATGAGCACATTAGTGCTGTCGCATGACCCTTCAGTGTGCACAGAAAGTGAAAGAAATTCATCTTATGACTTATCCATAGCTAGCAACAAGATGGAGGAACCGTACCGTGTGACCTTGCTCTGGGTAGTTGCAACCAGCGGGATAACGAGACTACATTGAGCACTTCAGGCAGCGGCCTGGAGGTCGTCCACCGAGAACCAGCGCGAGATGGCCACAGACGACCTTAACGAACAGCCTTGTTGGTCAGAGACCAGCCAGGCAGTCACACGTGATATGACCCGTCACGCCAGATTTACTGCGGAGGCAGCTGCAGCAGCAGCCTAGACGTACGACTGAACCTTATGTTCACTAATTCCTTGGCGCTTTCTATCACACAGCTGAATATTATATTAACGTAATACATTGCCATATGTGACAAAAACATGTTGATACTCATGTGCTACAATCGCTGAGTAGGTTGCAGCTGCTGCGAAAGGAGTAAAGTTGATGGGCTGTTGATGTGTGTGCGTCGCCGGCGTGTTTACCGCCAATAGGATAATGACCCGCCTCGGTGCTCGCCGCCCGCATCCCTGTGTTGCTTGGCGCCAGTACTGCCTCCTCCCACACATGCTACCATACTCTCTCTTCTCTCTGGCCTAGTACGTGACGCACATAACGCACTGTCAATACCAAAAATACTCTCTAGCTCCATGTAAATATTTCAACCGGAAAAAACGATGAACTACGCAGGAGCTCCAACGATCTTATACGCGCCCAGTATAATGTCCCAGACATCACGACGGCTAAAAATACCCGACGTCCTTGACGGAGGATATGCACTTGTTGGTGTTCATTCTCCTGGCAGACGCAAAATCCCGCACCCAGTGGTGGTGGTCTGTTTTTGTAGTTTTGTCTTGTTGGTTATAGTCCCTGATGTTGCTGCATAGACAGTGTTGTCAGAGTATATAGTTGTGTAATTAGTGTTGCTGCCATAGACAGTGCTGTCAGAGTATATAGTTGTGTATTTAGTGTTGCTGCCATAGACAGTGCTGTCAGAGTATATAGTTGTGTAATTAGTGTTGCTGCCATAGACAGTGCTGTCAGTGTATATAGTTGTGTATTAGTGTTGCTGCCATAGACAGTGCTGTCAGTGTATATAGTTGTGTATTAGTGTTGCTGCCATAGACAGTGCTGTCAGTGTATATAGTTGTGTGTATTTAGTGTTGCTGCCATAGACAGTTGCTGTCAGAGTATATAGTTATTGTATTTAGTGTTGCTGCCTGCTTAGACAGTGCTGTCAGTGTATATAGTCACGTGTATTTAGTGTTGCTGCCATGAACAGTGCTGTCAGTGTATATAGTTATTGTATTTGAGTGTTGCTGCCATAGGCAGTGCTGTCAGTGTATATAGTCGTGTATTTAGTGTTGCTGCCATGAACCCAGCAGTGCTGTCAGAGTATATAGTTGTGTATTTAGTGTTGCTGCCATAGACAGTGTTGTCAGAGTATATAGTTGTGTATTTAGTGTTGCTGCCATAGACAGTGCTGTCAGTGTATATAGTTGTGTATTTAGTGTTGCTGCCATAGACAGTGCTGTCAGTGTATATAGTTGTGTATTTAGTGTTGCTGCCATAGACAGTGCTGTCAGTGTATATAGTCGTGTATTTAGTGTTGCTGCCATAGACAGTGCTGTCAGTGTATATAGTTGTGTATTTAGTGTTGCTGCCATAGACAGTGCTGTCAGTGTATATAGTTGTGTATTTAGTGTTGCTGCCACAGACAGTGCTGTCAGTGTATATAGTCGTATTTAGTGTTGCGCTACAGACAGCATCAGAGATAAGTTGTGTATTAGTGTTGCTGCCATAGACAGTGCCTCAGAGTATAGTTATGTATTTAGTGTGTTGCTGCCATAGACAGTGCTGTCAGAGTATATAGTTGTGTATTTGAGTTGCTGCCATAGACAGTGTTGTCAGAGTATATAGTTGTGTATTTAGTGTTGCTGCTACAGACAGTGCTGTCAGTGTATATAGTTGTGTATTTAGTGTTGGCTAGCAGACAGTGCTGTCAGAGTATATAGTTGTGTATTTAGTGTTGCCGCTCAGACAGGCTGCTGTCAGAGTATATAGTTGTGTATTTAGTGTTGCTGCCATAGACAGTGCTGCAGGTATATAGTTGTGTATTTAGTGTTGCTGCCATAGACAGTGCTGTCAGTGTATATAGTTGTGTATTTAGTGTTGCTGCCATAGACAGTGCTGTCAGAGTATATAGTTGTGTATTTAGTGTTGCTGCTAGACAGTGCTGTCAGAGTATATAGTTGTGTATTTAGTGTTGCGCCATAGACAGTGCTGTCAGAGTATATAGTTGTGTATTTAGTGTTGCTGCCATAGACAGTGCTGTCAGTGTATATAGTTGTATTTAGTGTTGCTGCACAGACAGTGCTGTCAGAGTATATAGTTGTGTATTTTTAGCGCTATGACAGTGCTGTGAGTATATAGTCGTGTAATTATGTTGCTGCCAGACAGTGCTGTCAGTGTATATAGTTGTGTATTAGTGTTGCGCCATAGACAGTGCTGTCAGTATATAGTTGTGTATTTAGTGTTGCTGGCAGACAGTGCTGTCAGAGTATATAGTTGTGTATTTAGTGTTGCTGCCACAGACAGTGCTGTCAGAGTATATAGTTGTGTATTTAGTGTTGCTGCCATAGACAGTGCTGTCAGTGTATATAGTTGAGTATTTAGTGCGCTGCAGACAGTGCTGTCAGAGTATATAGTTGTGTATTTAGTGTTGCTGCCATAGACAGTGTTGTCAGAGCATATAGTTGTGTATTTAGTGTTGCTGCCATAGACAGTGCTGTCAGTGTATATAGTTGTGTATTTAGTGTTGCTGCACAGACAGTGCTGTCAGTGTATATATAGTTGTGTATTTAGTGTTCTGCCATCAGACAGTGCTGTCAGTGTATATAGTGTATTTAGTGTTACGCTATAGACAGTGCTGTCAGTGTATATAGTTGTGTATTTAGTGTTGCTGCTACAGACAGTGCTGTCAGAGTATATAGTTGTGTATTTAGTGTTGCTGCCACAGACAGTGTTGTCAGAGTATAGTTGTGTATTTAGTGTTGCTGCCACAGACAGTGCTGTCAGTATATAGTTGTGTATTTAGTGTTGCTGCCACAGACAGTGCTACAGTGTATATAGTCGTGTATTTAGTGTTCGCTACAGAGACAGTGCTGTCAGTGTATATAGTTGTGTATTTAGTGTTGCTGCCATAGACAGTGCCTCAGAGTATATAGTTGTGTATTTAGTGTTGCTGCCATAGACAGTGCCGTCAGAGTATATAGTTGTGTATTTAGTGTTGTGCCATAGACAGTGTTGTCAGAGTATATAGATGTGTATTTAGTGTTGCTGCCATAGACAGTGCTGTCAGTGTATATAGTTGTGTATTTAGTGTTGCTGCCATAGACAGTGCTGTCAGTGTATATAGTTATGTATTTAGTGTTGCTGCCACAGACAGTGCTGTCAGTGTATATAGTTGTGTATTTAGTGTTGCTGCCATAGACAGTGCTGTCAGAGTATGTTGTGTATTTAGTGTTGCTGCTACAGAGCAGTGCTGTCAGTGTATATAGTCGTGTATTTAGTGTTGCTGCTACAGCAGTGGCTGTCAGTGTATATAGTGTATTTAGTGTTGCTGCCATAGACAGTGCTGTCAGTGTATATAGTCGTGTATTTAGTGTTGCTGCCATAGACAGTGCTGTCAGTGTATATAGTTGTGTATTTAGTGTTGCTGCCATAGACAGTGTTGTCAGAGTATATAGTTGTGTATTTAGTGTTGCTGCCATAGACAGTGCTGTCAGTGTATATAGTCGTGTATTTAGTGTTGCTGCCATAGACAGTGCTGTCAGTGTATATAGTTGTGTATTTAGTGTTGCTGCCATAGACAGTGCTGTCAGTGTATATAGTCGTGTATTTAGTGTTGCTGCCATAGACAGTGCTGTCAGTGTATATAGTTGTGTATTTAGTGTTGCTGCCATAGACAGTGCTGTCAGTGTATATAGTTGTGTATTTAGTGTTGCTAATATATACAGTAGAGGAGAGTGAGATCAAGTCCCTAGGGGACAGCAGGGGTCCACAATGTTCCGGTCAAAAGGCAGTGACCCTTACTAATCTTCTTAATCCAAAGAAATTGACCATGCCAACTTTAAGCACAGCAGCTGTCCGTAGTCAGGTCAGAGGGTAAGATGACTCAACCTTCTCACCTGGTTACAAATCTTCTTAATCACAAAATTATCCAGTTTGTACATACCATTACTCAAATTCATGTTGACAGATTCGGTATGTTTAATGAGACTGGATTTTATAATGTTCCTACTGACACGGAAGCGCTTGGGAACTTCGTGTTTTCTTGTTTCCTTGTGGTTATAAGCATACAGTATGCTTGAATCACGCTCACCTACAGTGATTTATTTGCACACACACACACACACACACACACATATATATATATATATATATATATATATATATATATATATATATATATATATATATATATATATATATATATATATATATATATATATATATATATATATATATATATATATATATATATATATATATATATATATATATATATATATATATATATATATATATATATATATATATATATATATAATTGAAAACGTAATTTATCACTTTTAAAAGTTTTCGAATAGATAAGATATAAATGGAAAATGAGGCTATGTCGCAAGTGTCCCCAGCCTCACATTGTACTCCTATCATTGGCCATTTAAGCTTTAAACACAACGGACTTTCTTGTGACATTGGGAAAGTTTTTTGTTCTTAGCGTGAATGTTTCTTAAAAACTATTGAATTAATGGTAGAACCACACTTTTATTTCCAACTTCGCTGTTAAAACATAAGATTAAGAGCCATCCCCACAGTGCAAGTATTCTCTCAAGAGTTGTCATTATTTTTCATTAGCATTCTGAAGACGCCCAATTGCGTCTTATTAGGCCTAATGATCCTCGTTGACAGGAGATGAAAAAAATACAGCGAAGTCATGGCCAGGCATAAAACTGCCAAAACAAGTGAGAAATTTGTTACGTTGATAACCTCTAACTTACTGTACTGTCTTTCTCAACAACGTAAATATGTTAAACGGTCGAGCGGCTCAAATGTTCACAACTCTTAATTCTTTACTGGTGCTATCTCTTTATAATTGTTTCTTTTACATTTACAATAACATATTCACAAGTCTGCCAACTCATTAGTCGTTCAGTATCTTTTATAAGTCACACGGTGATCATAAGTAAACATTAGAGATTTGCTGGACCAAGATGAGCTCCCCAAACGTACAAAGAAACATCACTTGATCACGGGCGACCTTGGTGAATAACCGGAATACTATAGGAAAAAGAGATATCGAGAATGAGGAAACAACAGAGGGCTTGGCAGATCAACTTTACCTTTGGATATAAACAATGTATCAACTAATGATAACGTGGCGAACTTGAAGGATAAACATATATATTTTCATGTATGTATGTATGTATGTATGTATGTATGTATGTATGTATGTCTGTATGTATGTATGTATGTACAGTATAGGAAGAGCACAGTACTTACTGGACGAGAAGGAGGAGGAGGAAGGAACAGGAGACGACGCCGCTGATGCCGGAGCACTTCATGTTGATGGTGGTAGAGTGGCTGTAGGAAAAAAATGATATTGAAGGACTGAAACCTGTCATCAACGCCAGGCTCCACACTAAATATAAACACAGATTCTCGTTGCAAAGAATCTACAATTATTATATTACTATGTGATGTACTGTACAGTGTATATGTCCTCTATAGAAAAACCAATGTATAAATCTAATGTATACCTATTCGATGTATAGAAAATCAGTGTATTAATCAAAAGTATACCAATGCATTGTGTGGGTAAATGCAGTGTCTATCAATAAGTTCGCTGCACACATCTAGTGCATAATGCTTCATTGCATAAAATCTTACAGTTCACTAATTCCACAGTGCTTAAGTCCGGTGTATAATCTAACAGAAATAGGTGCATTAATAAATACTAAACGAGGCTACACGAAGTGAATCCAGAGCACCGATAACTGCAAGATTTATCCACACTATATATCTCCAAAGAGTACTACTATTATTTGGGAATTTTTATACCTTGCACTTGTGTGTGTGTGTGTGTGTACTCTAGTCTCTGGATTAAAACAAAATACAAGATATTCACAGAGCAAAATTACAGATAAAATTGCATCAAGTGAATACACACATTAATATGTCATGAACACTGGAACAACTAAGTGTCATCCAGGGTCCATAGTTAAACGGGAATTGTTGTTTGGCCGGATGATGAATAAAAGAACGTCTCCAAGGATTGTTAGTTCATTTTGACGCCATTTTGGAAGCCATTTCTATACTGTGTCTTAAGGTAACTGGTTAGATACTAAATCACGCCTCCAGTTAACAATTTTAGATTGTGAAAATGTTCCTTGAAAATATTTGACAAGTATACACAGGACACAGATGCAAGAAATATGTATCATCTCGAGCAGATTCATATACACATCCAAGCTTCAGATGTGTGCAGAGGCGTCCGTTACTTATTTATAAAACACAGATTTAAAATTATAAAAGGAAATCACGCTGGAGTCTATTGTAGGCGGGTTGTGTGCACAAAAAAGCTGGCTCATGTGGGCACAGTGGGTGAGACGTGAATACACACCAGCCGGCTCATGTACAGAAAGGGTAGATCATGTAATCACAGCAGGCAGGTCATGTTCACAAAGCAGCTGCGTCATGCACACATATCTACCTGGCAACAAGTGAGTAGTAAACAACCATTATACGGGAAGTGTACACATATTAGGTAGGTAGTACACATCATCTGAGTCATGTACACATACGCACGCAGTATGCGGGTAAAGGACGCACAAGATGCGGGATGTGTACATGCATCACACAGAAATGTGCTCATAGTAAGCATCAAGCAAGAGGGTAGTGTACACATACCCTGTAGATCATGGATATTATACAGTATACTTAGCAGATATTATCTTGATGATGAATATATTCGCACGGGGCAGGAGGACAGTGTAGTACTGTAAATATAACACAGAAATCTGCCTGTATACAGCAAGTAATTCGTGTACACTCGCCACAAAAAGTTCTCCAACACTTGGGCTAAATATTTCAGAATGAAGCACTGTGTCACGTGTCATCTCAGAATGGTTGGTATGCCTGGTTATGAAGTGACTCAAAATTCCGTAATAATATATGTTGATCGTCTTTATAGTATTTACGGATGAAAAGAAGTAATTAAATTTGTAATAAAACTTCCCCAGAGGCAATGTTCAGATTTCTCGTTCGTTTTGTCATATTGTACAGTATGTCATTTAGAGCGTTTGAGAACTTCTTGTGGCGAGTGTTCACACAGTAGGTGGGATATGTACACACTGCAGGGAGTTAGTATCTTCACAGCAAAAGGGTAATATACACACAGACGGTGGATAGCGTATACACAACAAGTGGGTAATGAATGCTCATCAGACGAGCAGCTGGGAGCAGCTGGGTCACTTTCCCTCCAGACGGTGGACGTGTATCCACAGCAGACGTTTAGTATGCACACATTAATGTTCATTACATGCAGGAACTGTTCATACAGTAGGAGCGTAGTGGACACATAAAAAAGATGGACCTTGTACAGATAAAAACGGGATTATATATACATTACATGCAAAAAAACGACCACGGGGCATTGAGGTTTTCAAAATTACCAGAAAGCGAAATTTCGTTATAGGTTAGGTTAGGTTAGATAAGGTTTGTTTAGGTTATTTGGGTTAGGTTAGGTTACGTTAGGTTACGTTAGGTTACGTTAGGTTAGTTGAATTTTGAAAAACCCCAAAACAAATTATGGTCGCTTTTTTTGGCGAAGTGAGCGAATTTGCTCATTGAGCCCATCATATACACAACATGAGTGCAGTTAGTAAACACATGGCAGGAGAGTAATGTACACACAAGAGAGGGTTGCAAGCTTACACACAGCCAGGGAATGTAAAAACAACAGGCTGGCAGTGTAGCTTAGATGCTGGGCTGTGTAACATGTGGGTTATATCCACACAGTTATTGGATTAGGGACAATATTGTGGACAGCTCAGGTGGGTTGTGTATATACATCTGGCAGAAGATGTAATATCAATAGGCGGGTATTAAACACACAGCAGATGGCTTGAGTACACACAATATAAGTTCTGTACACATAGTTTGCGGTCAACATCAAAAGTACGCGGATAGTACAGTAATAATAGGTGAGTGTATAATAACAGCATGCGGTTAAAGTAGCAAGAGCAGGTGGACGGTGTAATAACAGTGGGCGGGTAGTGTAATATACCAACACTGGGCGGTGTGATAACAGTGGGCGGGTAGTGTAATATACCAACACTGGGCGGTGTGATAACAGTGGGCGGGTAGTGTAATATACCAACACGGGCGGTGATAGAACAGTAGGCGGGTAGTGTAATATACCAACACTGAGCGGTGTGATAACAGTGGCGGGTAGTGTAATATACCAACACTGGGCGGTGTGATAACAGTGGGCGGGTAGTGTAATATACCAACACTGGCGGTGTGATAACAGTGGCGGGTAGTGTAATATACCAACACTGGGCGGTGTGATAACAGTGGGCGGGTAGTGTATTATACCAACACTGGGCGGTGTGATAACAGTGGGCGGGTAGTGTAATATACCAACACTGGTGTGATAACAGTGGGCGGGTAGTGTAATATACCAACACTGAGCGGTGTGATAACAGTGGGCGGGTAGTGTAATATACCAACACTGGGCGGTGTGATAACAGTGGGCGGGTAGTGTATTATACCAACACTGGGCGGTGTGATAACAGTGGGCGGGTAGTGTATTATACCAACACTGGGCGGTGTGATAACAGTGGGCGGGTAGTATATTATACCAACACTGGGCGGTGTGATAACGTGGGCGGGTAGTGTATTATACACACTGGGCGGTGTGATAACAGTGGGCGGGTAGTGTATTATACCAACACTGGGCGGTGTGATAACAGTGGGCGGGTAGTGTAATATACCAACACTGAGCGGTGTGATAACAGTGGGCGGGTAGTGTAATATACCAACACTGGGCGGTGTGATAACAGTGGGCGGGTAGTGTAATATACCAACACTGGGCGGTGTGATAACAGTGGGCGGGTAGTGTAATATACCAACACTGGGCGGTGTAATAACAGTGGGCGGGTAGTGTAATATACCAACACTGGGCGGTGTGATAACAGTAGGTAAGTATAGCAATAACAGCAAGTGGTTAGAATAATAACAACAGGTGGGGGGAGTAGTAACAGCAGCAGAAGTGTGGTGATAGTAGAGTAGGTAGATAGTAACACACACACACACACACACACACACACACACACACACACACACACCGGGCGATATTGCAGGTTCCATACATCCTCAACAATTTGGCAATATGAGAACTTCCTCTACCCCACATTGACTTAAATAAGGCATTCAGCCAATAACAGTTTGAAGCCATCGACCTCAGGTTTGGTAGAAGTCTTATACAGTGGCTACCAGACTTACTTAGTGACCGACACCAAGCCAAGCCATACGCTTCCGGTGCCTCCACCTTTCAGTCATTCACCTGTGGCGCCCCCCAAAGCAACAAAAGGACCGTGCCGCTTCCTCATCCTTATCAATGATGCCCTGAGCTCCCTTGCTGGATATATATATATATATATATATATATATATATATATATATATATATATATATATATATATATATATATATATATATATATATGTCGACAACATCTGGATCAGTGTCAACAACTCGGTCCCCGACTACAGCAATAACATCATCAACCATACCAAGACCATCGTTATGCACATCGACCTCTCCTCTGTCCCTCCCTCCCTCCATTACTTTGGGCCCCAACCCAACCCTCCAGGTTGTAGACTCCACCAAGCTCCTCGGCGTCACTATAGATAAACTGAATTGACACACGTCAGTGTAACGGTCATATCTTCCAGCTTTTGTCTCCACCTACTCCGCCGCCACAAGTCCCTCGGAGTTCCTGCATCTGAGCTCTTCAGTTCTTACTCTACATTCATACTTCCTGAACTCACCTTTGCTTCCCCTACCTGGTCTTCCTCTTAAATGCCACAGAACGAGAGCACCGTGAAAAGGTGCAGAAGAGGGCGTGCAAGAATATTCTCTTCCTCTCCTGCACATATCAAGAAGCACTCAACATACTGACCATTTCAGTTCTCTCTGATCACCTTGACCTCATCTGCAAGTTACAGGAGAAGCTTCTGCATCATCCTCGGCTCCGGCTTCCACCCGAGATCCTCATTCGCGAATTGCTGTTCGACACTATTGCCGCATTCAGCTCATACGACCACTTCAATCGCTATAAGAACAGCCCAATCCCAACCACTGTAAAAATTTTCAACAACTCATAGTGTGTTCATTCCCTGCCAATTTTACTGTACTTTCTTATTGTTACTATGTTGAAACGTTGAATGACTCCCCCTCCCTTGATATTATATATGATATTTGTACCACTTATATTACTTATATATTATTTGTCAATCAAGTGACCCATTCCTCAATTATGTCACTTTCATTATCTCTATTGACTGTATTTGCAAACC